ATTTGAAAGAGTTCAAAAGGCATGAACCACTATCACTATCACGAGAGAGGAAAGGCTCCAGGAAGCTGACGTTTGAGTAAATTTGGGTCTTGAGGCAGAGAAAGCAGAGAGTGGGTGGGCTGCAGAGCTGGCACTTATTGCCGAGAGAGGTTGCAGACAAGGGACCGCCGTGGCCAGGGGGTTGCATTCCTATCCAGGGGCTTCTACATACACATTTGTTGCACTCGCAAAATTTGACCCCAGATCTGAGTCAAAGCGATCTCCTGAGCAAGGAGGAATGAGGCAGTAGCCCTGCTTCATGATGGTCCCCAATCCAGAGCTGCCCACTTCTGCGCTCTCTCTGGGCTTGACATTCAATACAAAATGAAGTGCTCACCAAAGCACATCTCACTCCCTCGGGGGGAGAAGCTTCCCTGTCCTCCATGGGGTGCATATCCTCCTCTGTGCAAGTCACTGAGTCCAGAACTCTTTGATTTTTTTTAATAGACCCAGCCAGGAGCACTGGGTTCAAAATACTTCCTACAGTGGGCTGGAGTGATAATACAGCGGGTAATGTGCTTGCTTGGCACAGGGTTGGCCTGGGTTCAATCCCTGGCATCTCATATGGTCTCCTGTAAGCAATGACAGGAGTGATGGAGTGATTCCTGAGTGCAGAGCCAGGAGTAAACCCTGCGCACCACTGGGTGTGACCCAACACTACCCACCCCCCCCAACCCAAATACACTTAAAAAAAGCATTTCCTATCTACGAGGTCAGTTTATAATCACCTAATGAACAGTTTCCCTAGGATCACTCCAGACCAGATATAGTGGCACATAATTTATACTTCTTAGTCTATTCTGTTTATCAAAAGAACTCTCTGGAGAGACCTCATCATTGCTATTCTATAGCACAAAAGGGCTCAGACAGATGAAATAACATTAGAACTAGAATCAAAGCTGTCTTTTCCAGTGGATTACCATCCAATCAAAATAGTATAAGAGAGACAGACAGACAGATGGACACAGAGAGAGAGAGAGAGAGAGTAAAAGTGACTGTCATTGAGGCAGGGGATCGGGTGGGGAGTGTGGAGTGGAGGGAGGGAAACTGGGGACATTGGTGGTGGGAAATGTACATTGGTTGAGGGATGGGTATTGGAACATTGTATGACCTAAACCAAATTATAAACACTTTTGTATCTCATGGTGATTTAATAAAAAAGAAAGGGAGGGAGGGAGGGAGGGAGGGAGGGAAGTAGAGGTGGATGAAGGAAGGAAGGAAGGAAGGAAGGAAGGAAGGAAGGAAGGAAGGAAGGGAGGGAGGAAGGAAGGAAGGAAGGGAGGAAGGAAGGAAGAAGACAGATAATGAGTCTAGAAAATACAAAAAACGGGGGCCTGGTACAATAATACAGCAGGTAGGATGCTTGCCTTGCATGAGGCTGACCTGGGTTTGATAACCAGCATCCCATAGGTCCCTGAGTGACCCAGAAGTAAGTGCTGAGTACAGCTGGGTGTAGCCCTCCCCCCCCACCCACAAAAAGCAGATGAGGCTAAATATAACTGCAGTTGACAACATGGCAGCATTGTAGCATCACTTGATCACTTGATATCCCGTTATTTATCGATTCGCTCGAGCGGGTGCCAGTAACGTCTCCATTCATCCCTGGCAGAGGATCATTGTAGCATGGATGGTGAAAAAAGTAAAGACAGACTGGAGATAGGAGAACCAGGGAATTAGAAAATAGCTAACAGAAACTTGAAGGAAGGAAGAGTAGGAATAAAGATAAAAACTGGTTGCCAAAAATACTTCAGGGGTAGCATAATCATGACTTCACAGTAAATTCCTTTGTTGCAAGGATATCCTAGACTGAATGAAGTGAGGAGACAATGCTTCATTAAATAAAGCAGCAAGTATGGGAGGCAGGTGTTCCGAGAAAAGGGTGAACATGTGGAACAGATGGCCAAAACTGAAACATCAGATCCAGGCCTATAAGGACATGGCGTGTGAAGAAGAAACAAACTAGAGAACAGAAGAGACATATTATTCCTGGTCCATTCAGCCTGCTGCCGGCCCTCCTAACTCACTCCCTTCCTTCCTTCCTTCCTTCCTTCCTTCCTTCCTTCCTTCCTTCCTTCCTTCCTCCCTCCCTCCCTCCCTCCTTCCTCTTTCTTTCTTTCTTTCTTTCTTTCTTTCTTTCTTTCTTTCTTTCTTTCTTTCTTTCTTTCTTTCTTTCTAAGGCATGGTGATTTACAAAGCTGTCAACAGAAGATTTTCAGTAAACAGTGTTCCAACTCCAATCCCATCAATAATGTCAGTATCCTTCCACTAATGTCCCCTGGCAATAGTTGATTCTTATTTTCAAAAATAACTGGAAGCAATTGTAAATACTTGGTTAGGTGCACACAAGAGTTTATATCATTTTGTGCAGTTTCAATTTCTCCAAAATAAGTGCTTGGGTCTGAAGAGATAGTACAGCAGGTAAGGCACTTGCTTGCACAGAGCTGACCCAGGTACAATATCTAACATCATATGTGGTCCCCTGAGCAACACCAGGAGTGATCTCTAAGAGCAGACCAGGAGTAATTCCTGATCACTGCCAGGTGTGGCCCCCAAACAAACAAATAAGCAAAGCATCAAAAAATTTTTTTCATTTTTTCAAATGAAGAACGTATCATGGGACTGGAAAGAGAGCCCAAAGGATTTGGGATGCTTGATTTGCATGCAGGAGCCCCAGATTCATTGCCCAGCACTGCTGCAGCCCTAGAGTGCTGCCAGGAGTGACTCCCTAGCACCAACAGATGTGGCTTCCCCTCTGTTCCAAAAAAAAAAAGCCCACAAAAAAAAACCCCAAAAACAAAGAATCAAATATTTGAGTTCTTGCTGTGTGTTTGGCACACACCTATGTCCAGGGCATTTGAGAAACTTGCACCATTCTCCCAGCATCTCTATTAAATTGTCCATTAAAAAGTTATCAGACCTGGAGATCAGAAATGATTTCTGAACCCAGTTGCTTCCCGGGGTCTCCTTCGGTTCTACGTAATTTTTCTCTAGAAAATTTCACATTTGTATTGAAATCTTGATAATTCATTGATAATGGATGATGGATAGAAAAGTTTGTCATAATTCCTGTCTGATCAATGGCTGCAATTTTATACATTCAGTGCTAGAGGTCGTGGTTGGAGATGTAGGAAAAGAGAGAGCGCCTAACATGAGTGAGACCCTGGGTTTAAATCCCCAGCAACATAAAAGAATGAAAGCTGAGGTTGGCGGCAGAAGTGCAGGGCTGCCCTCCCTGGCTCCCTGTCCGCTTGTCGTCCTGGCTGTAACCCCCACAATGTACCTCCGGGAGCCATCTGGTCCAGAGACGCCCAATTGAATCCCAAAATGGATTAGTGCCCCACAGAAATGTCTCTGGAACATTTACAATTCAAGATTCCAGAAGCACATGGCTGCAGTATCCATGATATTCAAAACAAGCAATGGACAATAAATGGTCTAGCATCTGCCCCTGGCAGATAGGTTTGAATGGTGGTGGGAAAATTCGAGCAAAACATAATGCCCAAAAGTAGAGAGAGAGAGTATTGGGGAAATTGCCTGCCATGGAGGCAGGGTGAAGAGTGGGATGGGGTGGGATGGGGTGGGGGTTATACTGGGGACATTGGTGGTGAAAAGTGGGCACTGGTGAATGGATGGGTGTTCAATCATTATACGGCTGAATCTCAAACATGAAAGCTTTGTAACTATATCTCACAGTGATTCAATTAAAAAAAAAGTAATGTGTAGTTCATGCCCAATTCAATCAGCTTAATCAATGGCTGAATAAATGCAGTACTCCTACATTAAAAAAAAAAGAAAGAAAGAAACCTGGGGTCAGCGGAATGATAGTACAGCGGGTAAGGTGCTTGCCTTGCAAGTGCGAACCAGGGTTAGATTGCAAAAATCAGAAACAAAAGAAAGAAAAGGCTGGAGAGAATACAGGGGCTAAGGTGCTTAGCTTGCACATGGCTTACATGGTTGAATCCAGCTCCTAGCATGAGGCCCCCTTGGACCTGGGAGCTAGTGGGGTCCTCCCCCAGCAACAGCGAGTGAGCCCTAAATCCCAAATAAATGAAATTTATTTTTAAAAAAGAAATAATAGGAATATAATAAATACTAAGGGGCTTGGGGGCACGGGAGGGGTTGGGATCATACCGAGGTGTGCTCAAAGATTATTCCTGGCAGTGCTGGAGATCACACACGGTGCCAGAGATCTGGACTGGGTAGCCAGGCAACACCTTTACTCTAGTTCTTCCTCTCCCGACCATATAGCTTTTTTTTTTTTTTAAAGGCGTTATGGAGAGAACAGTTAAAACCAAACCAATCTCCCCCCCCCCCCCCTTTAGGCTACTTATATTTTATTGTATAGTTTTGTTCTGGGGGCTACCCCCAGCGGTGCTCAGGGGTTAGTTACTCCTGGCTCTGTGCTCAGGAATTACTCCTGGCGGGAGTGCTCGGGAAGGGGGAACACTGTGGGTTGCCGCGATCCAATCCGGGTCGGCAGCTCACAAGGCAAGCGTCCTGCCCGCTATATTTCTCTCCGGGCCCCAGTCCCTGCATTTATAGCTGCTGAAGACATGCGGGAATACTGAGATCAGTGGTGGTGGAGAATGGGCACTGGTGGAGGGATGGGTGTTCGATCATCGATCATTGTCTAACTGAAACCCAAGCACAAAAATTACTAAGTCTACAACTGTACCTCATGGTGTTTCACTAAAAAAAAAAAAAAAAAAAAAAAAAAAAAAAAGCAAAGCAGAGTGAGCAATCAAGACACAGCCAGAAGCAAGGACTGCGCCTAGAGGCGAGTTTCGCATCTGTTTGCAGCAACCCGGTTCAGGTCACCTTAACCAATTCACCTCCCGACTCTTCCCACAGACCCGCCTTCCGGTTCTAACCACGCCCCATGACGTCATATTTCCCCGCCGCTCCGGGTGCGGCCGACCAATAGAAAGCCTCAGAACCTGCTCGGGCCCGTGCAAGCCCCGCCCTGCGCGTAGACGCCGCGATGTCGGGCGCGGGCGGCGGCGTCGCTCGGCTGCTGCGTACCCGGTGGTGGCGGCCCCGCGCTTTTCCCCGGGGAGCGGCGCCAGTGGCGAGCGCGGGGCCGCAGCGTGGGCTTCGAGCCGTGAGGCAGACCCCGGCGCGCAGTTTGCTGGGCCGGGCCGGCTGGACTGGCCACTCCGCGCGCGGCCTGCACGATGCGTCGGGGCCGGGGGCCGCCGGCGAGGGACGCCCGGAGGCGGGTGCCGCAGGTACCGTTGTCAAGGAGAGCGCGGGATTCCAGCACCGAGGGCCCCCTCACCGCCCCGGGAGGGGGGGGGCTCCCTCTTTATACATTATTTTATTTTAATTTTTTGCGTTGGGACTGCAGCCGTCGGGGTTCAGGCCTTCCTCCCGGCTCTGCCCTCAGGAATAACCCCCGGCGAGCTCGGGGGACCGTAGCAGGCGCCGGGGACCGAACCCGGGTCAGCCGCGTGTGAGACAAGGGTCCTGCCCGCTGTACCGTCGCCACGAACCCCCTTTTAGGTATCTCGCTCGTCTGGAGTCAGCCAAACTCGCGCAGGTTCCGTGCTGGAAGGCACTTCAAGGGTCGTTGGCACCACAGCCAAGAGACGGTGGCCGAGAGATGAGCCGCGCCGCCTTCCCCCTCCCCCCATCCTTCTACCCCCGGTCGTCCTCTGGGGGTGTCGGGGCGGGAGGGTTCGGGCTGGCCAACCGGGCAAGCGCAGTGGTAGGAGGGGGCGGGTAGAGGGGCCTCGCTGAGATTGTGCGTGTGGAGAGCCTGGTGATTGTGGGCAGAGCTCATCGACCACGGGACGCGTCTAACTTGGCGGGTTTGGGCCCTCGGGCCTTGGCAGTCGGCCTTAGAAACTAAGAGCGATGCCAGTGCACAAGCTCCACAATGTAAAACAGACCGTGAGAAGCTGTCCAGGAGAGGTTCGCAGGTATTAGTGATCACGCAAACAGTATTTCTTAACGCTGTGTAAGAATCTCTCCCACATACGTTGGTTAATTGGAGGTTTGACATCTCCTCTGTTAGGCCAGATTTCTTCTCTGGACCAAATGCTACCTTCTAAAGAGCACATCCAGCCCACAGTTCTAGTTCTGTGACCTCTTTTTTTGGGGGCGGGATTCAGTTAATATTCCCTAGGACAGCACCCTTCCCCATTTGCACTGTTTCCTCCCCCCTCCATGAATGTAATAGAAGAAGTTAATAAAAGAGGAGAAATTTTGTTAGGAAAATAGAGAAAAGGGACAGGAAAAGTCCCATGGCATGAGAGAGGTCTGCTAAGCAGGATTTCATTTCTTTTTCTTGTATAATAGATACCTCTGCTAGTGAAGGTCCTTTTTTGAGGCTGGAGCGATAGCACAGCGGTAGGGCGTTTGCCTTGCACGCAGCCAACATGGCTGACCCGAGTTTGATTCCTCTGCCCCTCTCAGAGAGCCTGGCAAGCTACCGAGAGTATCTCGCCTGCACGGCAGAGCCTGGCAAGCCGCCCGTGATGTATTCGATATGCCAAACACAGTAACAACAACATCTCCAATGGAGACGTTACTGGGCCCCTTCGAGCAAATCGATGAACAACGGGAGGGCCTTTACCTTACCTTTACCTGCTAGTGAAGTGTTGGGATACAGTTTGTACTTCTTCAAATACACGTGAATAGATGGTTTCTTGGGATGGTTTTACATGGTGACAGCAGTTAGTAACAGGTGGTTCTGTCATCTGGACACCCGGACCATAAAGACTGAGCAATGTTCATTGAAATCACGACTCAGCTTCAGCTCCCAGCCCTGGGTCCTGCCATCCTTCCAAACATTTACATCGAAACTCCTGGGAGGAGGATGCCAGCTGCCTGCAGCCCTGGATACAGATGATGTCTATCTAACACAAGCAAAATCTGTGTTGCAGATCATGCCGGACCCAAGTTTGACATCGATATGCTGGTGTCCCTTCTGAGACAAGAAAATGCCAGAGACATTTGCGTGATCAAGGTTCCTGCAGAATTGAAATACACGGATTACTTTGTGATTGGCAGTGGGACATCCACCCGACATTTGCATGCCATGGCCTATTACATTGTGAAGATGGTAGGATGATAACTCTTAAGGCGAGAGAAACTGGGATTCCCTAGAGAGAAGAGTCAAGTTAGGTCGAGGCTGAAAAAGCCCTCGTGCAGTGTGATGGAACAGATGTAGCAGGAGAGTAGGGTCCCAGAGCTGCCACTGTGATGTGGCGGGTGAAGACTTCCAAGTAACGCTTGGAGATCAAGTGAAGGAGGAGGTTTCCTCCCACTCTCCCGCCTGCTGTTGATGATGATGTGATGAGCTCATGAACACTCTGCTCCCATTGACTAAGAGTGCTGGGCTCACTCCTGGCCACAGTGCTTGCGCATCTTTGTATGTGTATGTGTATGTGGTGCTCTTGGTGGTCACATCCTATAGTTGGGGTGCTCGCACACACCTGTCTATGACACTGTCTTCATAGTGCTGCCAAGTACTAGCTGTGCTTCTGCCATCTTACTTGTGAAAGCCTGCTGCTTTCTGGGAGATTGAGCATGAAGCTTCACTCACAGGCAGGCACTTTAGCTCTGAGCCTGGCCTCAGACGGAGAGTGTTGAAAAGTTTCTGAGACAAGGAAGGATGAGGGAATGGACGTTACAGTTACAAGAATTGGAGATGAGAGGGGAGAAAAATGCAAGGTCGCAAAACTTTATTTTTGTCTGTGGTAAAATATACAGAAGGTAATTCTAAAGTATAATAACTGTCTTAAAAAGTTTGTAAACAATTTTTTTTTTGTTTTTGGGTTTGGGCCCACATCTGACAGGACTTAGGGTCAAACGAAAGTTGGCTACATTGCAAGGCAAGCCCCTCACTTTTTTGTTTTGTTTTGTTTTGTTTTGGAGGCCACACCCTACAGTGCTCAGGGGTTGCTCCCATCTGTATATCAGGGATCACTCCTAGCAGTGCTCGGAGGACCATATGGGATTAGCTGCATGCAAGGCAAGGGGCTCAGATCTTCTGGGATGAGGAGCTGGTAGAAATTTGGGGAAACTTAGATGGAATTTGACCCTTGGGTGGATCCCCCAGCAGGAATCTAGAGTGCTAAGCCCCTAAATGAGATTCTGTCCTTGGGTGAATCTCCTAGGAGAACTTCCCTTGAAGGAAGGGCTTTATATGCTTTATGTCTGTTTATTGTTTATAATAATGTTCACCCACATCTATGTGTAATTGCTACACCCAGTCTTTCATGATTTCTCAATAAGTAATGCTTTGAGACTTGAATAAATGGCCACTGACTACCAACCTGGTGCTGCACTGGCCCCCAGGCTTCACCCTGTACATTATTTCATCCAGGTTTTTTCTATGATGCTACAGTGTGTTTGGGGCGGTACCCAGGAGGTCTAGGGGCTAGGTCAGACAGCTAAGTATGAGTGAGACATAGTACTGCTGGGGCCCTGCAGTACTGGGGTTCCACGCGGCCACACCCAGCAGTACTGGGGGCCATGAGTGCTGGACTGAGCCAGATAGTGGGTATGGGCAAAACATGGTCCCGTATTCCCTGTGTTAGCTCCCTGGCCTCTAGTTATTGATTTTTGATTATTATTTTTTAGTGGAACCTAACTGAAAGCCTCCTAGATGCAGGACAACTGCTCTTCCACCAAACTATATCCCTCACTCCTCACTGTCATCCCGTTGTTCATCGGTTTGCTTAAGTGGGCGCCAGTAACGTCTCCATCCCAGCCCTGAGATTTTAGCAGCCTCTCCTTACTCGTCCTTCCCAGCAGTGCCGTGTTGGAGGCTCTTTCATGGTCAGGGGAATGAGACCCGTTATTATTACTGTTTTTGGCATATAAGTATGCCACGGGGAGCTTGCCCTGACCCCTCACCCCTCCTAAATTTTATGTAATCAGTCAGTTAAGGAATACTTCTTTTTCTCCAGCATACTGGTGATTGAACTCAGGGCTGCTGCATGGGAAGCACATGCGCCACTTTTTATTTTTTTTCCTAACTTTTATTCTTATAAAATTGTTCACAATAATTTACTACATTTAATATTCAAACACCAATCGCACCACCATTGCACCTTCCCACTACCATATTTCGAATGTTTCCACCCCAAATCCCAAATCGTGCTTCCCAAAACTTGGTATATCAGTGGTGTAGAGTATGAGAGGTTGCTCCAGGAATTCTAAAATTTAGAATACAGTTATACAGCAGATTCACTGTGGGTGAGACCTGTGTTGCTCTTTTGTGGGGGCTTTACTTCTGAATCTTTGGATCATGGCCACTGGTGAGAATATAGGGCAACAGAGGCATTTTCGTGCGTGTGACTGCCAAGCTACTGGAAAACTTGGAAGGTTGGGGGGAGGAGGCCCATTCCCACTCTGAGACATGCTCCGCTTTTTTTTTTTCCTTTTTGGGTCACACCCGGTGATGCACAGGGGTTACTCCTGGCTCTGCTCAGGGGACCATATGGGATGCTGGGAATTAAACCCAGGTCAGCCGTGTGCAAGGCAAATGCGCTACCTGCTGTACTATCGCATCAGCCCCCAAGGTCCACTTTTTAAACCCACTTTTGAGTTTATGTAGTTTTTTTTGGGGGGGGGTCCAAGCCACACCCAGTGGTGCTCAGGGTTTACTCCTGGCTCTGTACTCAGGAACTTTTCCTTTTGGGGCACAGAGACCATATGGGACGTCAGGGGTCAATCCCAGTCTGATGCATGTAAGACAAAATGCCCTAATTACAAATGCTATACTATTGCTCTGGCCTTGAAACAGATCATCATGCAATTTATTTATTTATTTATTTATTTATTTTGGGCTGTGCCCAACTCTGGTGTTTATTCCTGGCTCTACACTCAGAGATCACTCTTAAAGGGGTTGGTGGACCATATGAGATGCTAGGGATTGAACCCAGGTCAGCTGCTTGCAAGGCAAGCACCCAACCTGCTGTACGGTTGTTCCAGTCCCCACTTTTAGTTTTTATCACAAATGGCTGTTGATGAATACTTCTTACTGCATTGAGATCACATGATTTTATTCTTTCCTTGGGGTGGTATATCCTGTTGGTTCCCCCAGTGGCCCCACTCCATAGTAGCAGATTGGACAGTTTCATCAAGACCACATCACATTGCTTTAATTTTGAATTTATTTGTTTTGACATCTGACAGTGCTCAGGGCTAACTTCTGACTCTGTGCTCAGGAATCACTCCTGGTAGTGCTCAGGGAACCACATGTGGTGTTGAGAATTAAACCTAGGTTTGTTGTGTGCAAGGCTAGTTCCCTGTACTACTGTACTATCTCTCTGATCCCCCAATATCAATTGTTTTGTGAAGTTTTTTTTTTAATGTAGGAATACTGCTGGTTTTTCAGCCATTGATTAAGCTGATTGAATTGGCCATGAACTCCTACTTTTTTTGCAATTCAGAATGTTAATTGTATTTTATTATTATTTTTCAAATCACCATGAGATAAGTTACAAAGCTTTCCTGTTTGTTTCACTCATACCATGATCGATCACTCAACTCTCCACCAGTGCACATCTTCCACCACCAAGAACCCCAGTCCCCCCCATCCCACCCCTCCCCTTGCCTCTGTGGCAGACAATCTCCCCCATACTCTCTTTTGTATTGCTTGTTATGAATAGCATAAGATGTCAGGCTGCCGCAAGAGCAGCTGCATACTCCTGGAACTCCAAAATTCCAGATAATTAGGGTCTGGAGAAATCTGCAGCAAGCTGCTCGGTTCAGAGATTCCTTTGTGTGTCTCTTGGATCTTGTCCCCCAAGGGGCTTAAGTAGCAGCCAGAGGCAGTTTGTGGGCGTGACCTCCAGGGTCTTGGTGGGGGGATGAGAGGGACAGCCCATCTCCTATCTCTTGAGGCCTGGAGTATGCTATCACTGAACCTGCATACCTGCACTTCTCATTGGGTTCTGGAAGTTGGTGGACAGGGTTTTTAGGGGGCATGTTGCTCCCACATACCTTTTGGCCATTTAATTTCTTGGCAAACTTGGCCCCAAGTTGTTGGGGTCTTTTCAAAGGCACAGCAGCAATTTTGGGGTATCAGGAAGTCTGAAGGCACCATCAGGCTGCTGGTACAGTCGCCCCACAGGTACAGGTTAACCTGCTGGCAGCACCGTACCCCCATGTTTTATGATGGTTTAACCATGCTTTTGTCCCCGCAATAAATCCTATTTCATTGTGGCATATGATCCTTTTAATTGAGGTTGATTTGCACGTTCTGAGGATTTTTTTGCATGCGTGTTCAGCAGGAATATTGGACTGTAATGATTTTGTTTTGGGGTCGCACGAGGCAGTATTTAATGTGACCCACCCCTGTCAGGCCAGCAGTGCCTCCCCCTTGAAAGCGAAGGTGTTTCTGAGATTCTGGCTCAGATAGGTCCTAGGTGGTTGGTACCACTGACAGATCTTTCCTTTTTCCTTCTTTTGCCTCTCTTCCCATGCTCAATTTTTAAGATTTGTAATTAAAAACATAATTTATTCCATTTGCTTTTTGTTTCTAAGTTACTCCTGGGACTGTGTAATGCCAGGAATTGTGCTGGGGTTCTTGGATGCATAATCTGTGCTTCAGACTGTTTCCCTCCCACCAGGGGGTCATGTGTGTGTGTCTGTGTGTGTGTGCATGCCAGATGTCATAAGTGCAGGTCACTACTGCTGAGCTAGGCCCTTTCTTAATTTTCTTTCTGCGTTGCCCATTCTAAGTATATAGAAATGCACCTACATCTTTGCTGAATCCAGTGATTTGTCCTGACAGTCTGTGCATTTGAAATTTTTAGGGTTTTCTTTAATAAATAGTGCTACTTACACACTACTTTTTCCAATTTGAATGCCTTTTAAATTTTTTTTGCCCAGGTAAGCTGACTAGAATTCCAGTGCTTTAGTGTTCCTGTCTTGTTCTTGATCTTAAAGGAAAAACTCAGTCATTCCATTGAGTAATAGCTGTGCTCTTTTCATTTATGTCCAAAGCTAGCTGTTTGGATTACTTACTTGTAATACGAATGTTCACGGCAACTTCTTTGTATTACTAAGGGTTTTGTGTCTGTGTGTTTTAACTGTGAAACGGTGTTGAGTTTTACCAGGAGCTTTTTCTGAATCTAATAGAGATAATCCTGTGCTTTTGTCCTTTTTTTGTTAGTGTGGTTTATTAAATAGGTTTTCACCTTGAACCATCCTTCTATTCCAGGAATTTACCTCATTTGGTTGTGATGTGGAATTCTTTCAGTGTACCAGAATTTGGTTTGCCAGTATTTGTAAAAACTCTTTGCATGCATCTTTTTTCAGGATGTCAGTCTATGATTTCCTTGTAGTGGCATTGATGGTAGAATGTTTTCCTTCCAGTTCAGTTTTTTTCAACTGGGTAGCCAGTATTTTGGGTGGCTGTTCTTTGGGAGATTGATTCTGTTTCAGCCCCCACAACCACCATTACTGAATTGGATCTAAACTTTGACTACAGTTTTTCTCTGATCTCCTTCCTAGTTCTGTTAATTTGTTAATAGGTTAATTTGTTCATCATTTTCTACTTCTTTGTGGTGAGTTTTAGGTTGTTGTTGGCACATTTTATAGCTGCAAATTTCTGTAGTCACTTAATTAGCACATGTTCCCCCAATACTCCTGGCGGGTGTGTGGGACCATAAGCTGTGCTGGGGGTTGAACCCATATATTAGGTAAGCGCCTTATCAACTGAACCATCTTCCTGGCCCCCTAAGTTGTTTTGGGATGTGTATTTAATGTTTCAAGATACCTTACAATATCTTTGACTTTTTTTGCGGGGAGGAGGGTATTTGAACCACACCTCACTGCTCAGGAATGTGCCAGGATCGAACTAGGGTTAGCAACATGCAAGGCTTTAAACCACACTTTATTCTCTCTGACCCAGCCCATTGATTTTTAACTGATGTTTACAATGGTGAGTTTTCCAGTTTTGTTTCTACTGTTGATTTCTCATTTCACTGTGATCAAAAAACATTTTGTAGTTTTGATTGTTACACTTTCTTTGTAGCCTAGTATGGTCTGGGAAATATTGCATATTAACTTGACATAGTGTATATTCTGCTATTGTCAGACAGCTTTTCTGTTAACCAAGGAAGCCAAAGGGCAAAATTATGTAAGTGGGGGAAAGTCACAGGATGGAAACAAGGTTAGAAGGGCATCCCATCAGAAAAAAGCTTGTGAAGCATAGGTTTGTTCAAGCCTTTTATTCATCTGATTTTATCCATGATTGAAAATGGGGTATTAAGGCTTGTATATTGTGTTGCTTTTTGTCACAAATGTTTAGCTCTGATGTATATTTAGTTTCTGGATTATACCCAGCAGTGCCAGAGTTATGGACTGCCAGGGTCAGGTAAGTGCAACCAACACAAATGCCTGACCCCCTGTACTCTCTCTCAAGCCTGTCTCTGATACTTGGAAGTGTGACCTTGTTTTTTTCCCCTGTGTCCCCTTTTGTTGAAAGTTCAGTGTACACTGTCATGCAGGTGTGGGGGGAAGGGATGGTTATGGTTAGTAAGAGTGGGGCCAGTAGGTTGCTAGCTTCTTCCCTGAGAAGGGAACCTGGGGGGTCATTAGGCCCCTGCTGCTGTGTATGACCTTTGGCTTCCCTTCCCCAAGGGAACTTGGGTGAAGGATTTAGGGAGAAGGATAGGAAGCATGCCAGGTTTCTGGGGTAAATAGTTTCTCTAAGATATTAATTATGGTAGAGAATGTAGCTTGAGGAATAATTAAGCAGGTGACCCAATTAAGACAAATACCCCCAGGAAGAATAGGGACTTATCCCATCCCTGCCCACTTCAACATGTAAATTGGCTTTTTACAGTACAAATTCCTGAAATGTAAAAGTGACCCTCATGTCAAGATTGAAGGAAAAGAAACGGATGACTGGCTATGTGTGGACTTTGGTGAGTTGCTTTACACATACTAGAATTTGCACTAATTTTGAACTGTTTTCAGTTGCAGAAGAATCAAGATCAGATGAGTATTTTCCCATGTAAGGTGTTTTGAAATTTGTTTCAAGTTTTATTTAGTTATAACCTGTCAGTGTGCAGTCTCTGCCTAAAAGATGCTAGAGAATGTATCCGTAAGCATACTTACAAAAGGAATGCATACCATGTTGGAGGTATTTCCAGCTGCTAGGCTGGAATTTCAAACAGATAACAAACTTGGATAGAAACATAATTTCCAAGTATTTGACACAAAATAGGCTGAATCCTTGGCACTGCCCAGTCATCTGAGTACTGCTGGGTGTGGCCCACAAACAAACAAACAATGAAGATCCAAGATTTTATAATCTAATATGTTGGCCAGTTTATATAGCTGGAATCAGTACCCTTTAAGCACCAAACAGCTCTGAGAGTACTCATGAAGTAAGAACAGTCACATTAGACTAAACAGGCACAGTTTTGCTGTGGTAGAAGACACTTTTTCTGCTGAGGCTGTGCTCGGAGACCATGTGGTGCTGGGGGATTGAACCTGGGCCTCCTGCCTTGCTCAGCCCATTGAGTGCTCTCTCTGGTCCCTAAGCTACAATTTCAGCTTTGTCACTCAATATTTGGACCAACTAAGTCTTTTGTGGGTTAGAGGTGAGCAGAGTGAAATATCATGTATACTAGAGTATCCCTTATCCAACCTCCAGTTGTTAAAACCTCCCTGGCCATTGCCATATTTGCATCTTGCTAGGCAAATATACTTCAAATTCTAGAGCAGTTCACTGCTCATGGGATTTGCACAGCTGCCTCCTGCTGACCCATCACCTTTACTCCTTGGGATTAAGTTCAACATGTGTTAGAAACTGTCAAAGAGGGTTGGGTTGTGAGATGACAGGAATAAAACAGATGAACAGCTTATTATAACTTATATGTCCTTCGCAGGTAGCATGGTGATTCATTTGATGCTTCCAGAAACCAGAGAACTCTATGAATTAGAGAAATTATGGACCCTGCGTGCCTATGATGACCAGTTAGCTGAGATAACACCAGAGACATTACCTGAAGACTTCATTCTTGGAATTGAAGAGGACACTTTGACCTTGACTCCAATGGAGTCCAAATGTGAACAAAATAAATATGAACTGCGTTAGCTGTTACAGATTTGGATGGAGTCATTTCTGAAAAACATTGACTATTCAGTCCTAGTTCATGCTAGTTCATGGTGGTTCATGTTGGCAAGTGGCAAGTGTAGTAAAAATTTGGTAAACCTCAAGTGCTTCAGACTAAGACCATAGGATATAATACACTCCTGAGATGCCAGCAGGAATTCCTAGATTTTTGCACTGGCTGAGGTGCTTAATTCGGGCTCTGTTTAGAATTTTGCTTTAAAAAAATTTGGGAAGTGGTGGAGTATTGGGCCACACCTAGTGACTTGGGGACCATTTGGGATGGTCTGGGTACACTCTAGTCCTCCTAGCCATCTCCATTAGCCCTTACATGTGAATAATAAAACAGCCAATTAAGAGAGTAGTCATAAGTACAAGGATATGACTGAGCAGTAGACAGAGCACTTGCCAAAAGGCAGGTCTGCCGTGCTCCTGCACAGCATCCATTTTAAGGCATGAGTCTGAGTTTAATGTATAGAGAAAAAAATTGGGAAAAGCTATTGAAGCCTCAATTCATATACAAAAGTATTATCTCTGCTCTCATGTAAGTTCCATGGCACAGTGAAAATTAGCAGAAAGTAAATAAAATCTAGCACACACCAGGCTGCACCTAATGATGAAAAACTTTATTCTGCATCAAGGTATCTGGAAATGAAGCTGCATTTGGGCACATTACAGATGAGGGATGATTCACATGTGTTGAATACAAAACTCAATTACAGAATTATTTCTTAGTTATTACCAGATACCCCAAATTACCAATGCTTAATTGAAGTAAAACATGATTTGCCACACTAAAAGGCTAGAAGTGAAATATGATAGAATTTAAACCAGCAAAGATAAATGTAGCACCTATTTGTATATATTAAACAAACCACCAAATACTGGGAGAAAAAAAATCAAATATTGAGGATGAGCTCTGGCCTTAGGTGCATCGACCTGAAATTCAACCAGAAAGCCAGAACATGATTCATTTTAGCACTTCATTGTATGGAAAAAAAAAATTAATGTAAATGAATCCAATGACAAAAAGGGCACTTTTGGGCTAAAACTACAAAATAAATTTTTTAGGAAAACATTTCAAATCATTTTAAAAAATGATTGATATGCTGATCTTCAAAAAAACATCTAGTCCATATAAATTCGTCTTGAAATACAAAAATGAGGCAAATGATTTTTAAAGGGTTATTATTGATGCCCTTTAGATTACAGTAATGATGACCATGATCATTCTATGAACAAAAGCAACACAATTCAGAGAGCAGTGTGGCCTTGGGGACCACCCACACCCACATACTGTACAAACCAGTCTTTGCCATCAAGTTAAAGGAATGGGCAGATGAGGTCAGTATCAGAGGTCAAATGTTTTTATCACAGTCATTCAGATTAAATTCAAAAATTGTCACCTTATATTCTTCTACAGTATGAATTTAAACCGGTCACAGAGAAATCCTGTTCTACTTTATGTAATATTTTAGGGTGGCCCTTCATTTTCCTTGATTTACTGTGATTCAAAAATCTTTAAGTAGCTTAATCATGAGGCCCAAGACAGTGCCCCGCACGAGAAAAGTTAGCTTGAATTGCTTTAAACACTGTCACCATCTGACTGCACCATTGGTCTTCACAAAGCAGTTATTCTGGAGTCAAGTTTACTGACAAACTAAGCATCCTGTGAGACAAGCTGACGCTTACTATTTGCAGATCAGTTTGAAGTCCCCAGGGGCTGCGTCCCTTCACCCTTAGGTAGTGATAGTCAAAAGCAGAAAGCATGTATGCATCCAATCACGTAGGCAAACAGAAGCCTGAAGTCTCCTGAAGCCATGGAATAACTAGCCGTTCCCAAACCTCCTGCAACCACTTCGCTCTGTTAGTACCGTCACTTTTCCCTGCCATAAACAAAACAAAACAAAAAAATGGTATTGCTGCTCTCCAAACATAGGCACTGCTCCATATCACTGAACAATTACTGGGTTTTCAAACAATTGCTGTGTCAAAAGCCTCAAAAAATCTGAAATTAATTTTACAGCCTTACTGTCACAAGCCAGAAGTAAAATTCTTTTCTGTTATTTGCCTGTTAGCTGGTTAAATTTTAAGTTTCTTTTTTTAAAAAACAAACAGTTGGACTTTTATCTTTTATAAAGTATATAAAATTTTCAAAAAACAAAACAATTTGCTTTCATTGCATTACTGAATACCTGAGGTAGTTGAGTAAAAATGCACGTTTAATTCCCCTGCCAACACCATTCAGCACTTCCCTTAGGTTATTCATGTTAGTGTTAGATTAAACTGAGAATAGTTTTTCCATAATAGTTTAACACAAGTTCTGCAATAATTCTATTCTGATCCAATTTTACTAACTGGACTCAGAAGCAATCTTTTTATTTGATGAATTTAGTCAATGCATCACTAAGCCAGTTTATGGCATTAGGGGTAAGTTTTAAGAAAAATTAGAATACTTGTTATACCGAGAATACAGCAAAAGGGAAGTGCAGAGCTTCTCTTTCCCTCCCCCCTCCCCTATTTTTTTTAAAGCTGGGTGTCATACATTTCAGAGAGCATAAAGTATACATTCTCACAGAGACAGGAGTTCGAAAGTTGCCTGGTTCTCAGAAACAACTGGCTAGGTAAAACATGTGCGTGTGAATCTGGATGGAAGTTCAGCACCCATCTGTTGGTTAAGCGATCTGTCTTTGGTTTGGCATCTGCCTCTGTGGTGGGCTGTTTCCTGAGCCTTTACTTCCGTCTTGACTGAGGTGGTCCACATTGCAGAGCTTTCTGCTGTTGGTGTTGCTTTACCTGATTCAGTATTTCCTGAATTTTTCTCTGGGCTACCTGCAAAAGAAAGAGGGCTTTAAAATTTCTTTCTGATCAAAAGTTCCTCTTGCAAGGGTCAGACCTGCCACAGGTAGCGCCCTGGGTCCGATCTGGCTCACATAGTAGAGCGCCCGGTTGGATCTCTCCCTGCCCCACACACAACTAAGAGAAAACAGAAGGCAGTCTTCCATTCCAGCAACTTCACACGGAAACAGCTGGAAGACTGAAGATTATAGACACACACATTCAGTGTTCAAGCAGGATCTCTGAAATCACCCACAAAGTGTGAAGCAACAGGTGTGGGAGTACCTCAAGGGCTGGAGCACACACTCTGCATGCAGAGTGCAGGGTTCCCGCCCCTGGGTGTTTAGTGCCAAACAACCCGCGTAGGGTGGGGGCACCGACAGAAGAACCGCTTCCATTTGAGAAAATTGAGAACAGATTTGCTAGTCAGATTTGCGCTCACTTGCCTGGCAAGCATAAAAGTGACCAGTTATTTTGACAACCACTTGATCATTTTCATCAGGTGTCTGGTCACGAGGGACAACAACTTCTGCACTTGACAAATTCTGGAGCTCATTCACCTGAAAAAGTTAAACACAAACCATGTTTGTTTGGTTTTTAAACTACCATTTTTGAGCACTTACTATGTGCCAGACACTAAGCTATGGCTTTGTACATTTCATTTAATCCAATAATCTGTCATTGTTAGCACTGTTCCTATTCCAAGATTATTAAAAGCCACGTCTTATCTAAAAAAACAACTTGCCCAAAGTTACACAAGTGCCTGCAGAGTCAGACTGAATTCCTGAAAGTCTCGATTCCAAAGGAGATGCGTCTTCAAAATTGTAAATTGTTTTTAAAACAACTTAGAAGCTAAGGAGAAACTAGAAAGTTCTTCCCCACTCCACCCCCACCCCTTTTGGACAGTGGTACAAGTCTAAGTGAAATAAGAGATTTTTTTGTTTGTTTGGGGCGGGGGATGTCGCTCAGTACTACAGCAAACTTTGCCTTCCATGTGTGAAGCTGTGGGCTAATCCCTGGCACTGAGAAGGAAAAAAACTTCACATCATTAAATGCTGGTGCAACAGAAACAGAAAGCTAAAGAGGCAGAATGTCTTTGTAATATGAGACCGTCCCCCTGAGAGTGGCCTAGAGTAGCTGACACCATTGGGCAGCAAGGACACGGGGCAGGCCTCCAAACCTTGGCCAGGCTGCTTCTGCTTTTCCTACACTAGCCCAAATGTGTGGACTTGGAACTCCTAAGTACCTTTCAGTGCTTTCCCTTTCATACCACTGCACAGGTTTTGCTGAAGTACTTGCCGTTTTGCCTCCTTTTCCAATCACTCTGCCAGCAGCAAAGGACGGCACTCGAATATGAGCTTCAAGTTTCACCTCTTCTTTAGGACTAACAAAGTTTTCTTCTTTAATTTTTCCATAAATTCTTCCCTGAGCCTAGAGGGAAGAGTACATCTATGTCTTTTATATAGAAAACACAAAAGGTGAACTTAAGAGATGGCCCAAGTTGGCTGGAACGGCCTCCTTGGGGAAGCTACATTTAGTACACTCTTGAAGATCATACAGAGAACCGGGATTTAGGAAGCCCCCAAAAGGATGATGACAAGCCAGTACAGCCGAGGTAGCTGATTGACTGGTGATAGTATAAACCATATCATAGCAAAAACAGGCAATTATTATTTTTTTTTATATATGTGTGTGGAGCCAGTCATTTGGTCTCCAATCTGAAAGGTAAAAACTCTTCAGCCTATAAAAACCTAATTGCACTTTCCTGAGCAGAAGGTTGGGGAATAAGCGCGAAGCAGAGTCCTCGGGAAGGCAGGCTGGCTTATATTGAAGGGGCCAGGGGCGATCTACTGGGGAATGTACTTTCTATGGAAAGGTGCCTCTTTACTCAGCTGTGTGGATTTTACTCTGATGAATAAGGCTACAAAAACCAGTTTACACATCTGCTATTTAGTGAGTCCTAAAACTACTGCAAACAACTGAGTTAAACATAAACCCACCTTCTATCATGTATAACCATGAATTTGTACTGGTATATACCAAAGGGGAAAAAGAAAGGTAAAGTTGGCTTAATCAGGGCACCAAAGTAAATTAAACAAAAATATCCAGAGTGTGAGTGTGAGTGTGGGCACCAAAGCAAATTAAACAAAAATGAGGAGGATGGGAGGGAAGGAGGGAGAGAAGGAGAGAGAGAGAGAGAGAGAGAGAGAGAGAGAGAGAGAGAGAGAGAGAGAGAGAGCGAGCGAGCGAGCTGGTGATGTGGTAGGGTGGAGTGCTCAGGTGCTCAGGGCTTACTCCTGGCTCTGCACTCAAGGATCATTCCTGGTGGGATTTGGGGGACAATATGGGTGCCAGGGATGGAACCTGGTTTGGGCACGAGTAAGGCAAATGCCCTAGCCACGTTTTCTTTTTTTCCTCCCTCTCCTTGTCCCTCCGCGCCACCCCTCTCCCCACTCTCCACTCTCTCCAACCTCCTCCCATCACCACACATATTTTTAATGGTGAAAATTGTCAAACTTGTGTGAGTAGGGATGGGGAGTTTACAGAAACACCATCCAGCTTGCCCTTTATGTTCTTCCCTGAACAATATCCCACTGGCTTATTTCTTTTACCAGTCTATTTATTTAGAGAAGCCTGCGTCTCCCCTGAGCATGTACTTCTTTCTCTCCCTCTCTATCTTTCTAAGTAAGTTTCAATAAAAATGATCTTGCTTTAAAAAAAAAAATCCACCTTGGTACCTTAATATTTCCATTCATGTTCAAAGTCTCAGACCTGTCAAAGCACATCATTCTTCAAAATATATGATCTTGAATTCTTGAGTAAGAGAAATGGTAAGAGATAGACGTGAAGGAAGGGCCAATGAGGGGAGGGAGGGTTATGTGTGTGTGTGTCTTGTGTATGTATGGTCAGTATTTAAACTGCTCCTTAGCTCTCTAAAAATCTTTACTTGAAAGCAGCAATTGATTACATAAATGTGGTTTAAGCACCATAGCTTTTCTTTTTCTTTCTTCTTTGGGGTTTTTGGGCCACACCGGCTTACCCCTGGCTCTGGTGCTCAGGGTCACGAGCTGGAGATCATACTGGGTGCTGGGGATCAAACTCTGGTTGGCAACATGCAGGTACCTATCCTACATGTACTACTGCTCCAGCCTCCACCAGAGCTTTTCTTAAAGGTTCTGTTTAAGACCAATGAACCACATGAGTACTAACAATTCAGGGAACAAATTTAGAATTTCCCAGTATGCAGACACCATAGAAATAGCAAAGTAATAATTCCGTTAATCAAATGGGCTCAATCCCAATTACATGCTCTCTACAGCAACAGCAAAAAACGATTTTTTAAGAAAAGCTCAGGGGCTTGGGGAGACAGCTCAAAGGAGAAGAGCAGGTGCTGGGCACGCCTGGGATTTGACTCCTGGCACTGCATCCTCCTGGGGGAGGGAAGAGCCTAGAGTCATCAAGTCTGTACCCTGGGCCAGACTGAATTTGAGAGTGTCATCCACACCTCCAGGCACTGTTGTTGAGGCCTCCAGTAAGCCCCAAACCAAGAACAAAACAAGACAAGAAAAAAGCAAGAGAGAGGTGATGGGTGGGGGGTGAGGGGGAGGTGCACAAGAACAGACTGCAGGCTGAGATGTGGGGAATCAGGTCCGTTTAAACCAGAACACGGTTCCCGCCTGTTCCCTTGCTCCCATGAGCACAGCTCAGAGCACGTACCTTAAACTGAGCCTCTGGTGGCCCAGTGATGATCACCATCCGCACTTTAGCATCGGGGGCTTCAGCTGGAGCAATCTGGAACAGAGCCAGTCACAGGTTATCTAAACCTCCAGATGCCAGGGGCAGAAACCTGCCATGCAGCAGCCTGACACGAGCACACATCCGACCGAAAGGCAGAATGAAGAACGGTAGAGGCCATAGATACTGGGAGTTCATTGCTCCTGCCATAAACCCTGCACACGCAGTCAGCTAATTCTCACGGTATCCCAATGGGCATCTCCTCTACTCGTCGGAGAGGGACTACAGGTCTGAGCTACCTGACCACCAGACAGTTAAGAGCAGAAGGGCGGCCCCACCCCTGCTAACTACAACAGTGGTGTTCCGAGGTTGCTCTGCATCAGAGACCCTTCACGCCGGCTTCCTTACACTGCACAAACTCCAGCGGCTGTGACTTAGCTTGGAGATAATGCCCAACACAACTGTCACTAACAAAATCTAAAAACCACTTTTTGAAAATGCACAAATGTAAGGGTATTAATAAACCAACCCAAAGTATATTCATTTGCTGTAACTTATGCTTTGTGTGGGGGTTTCAGACCACCCCTAGCAGTGTTCTGTATTCAGGGGTCACATGTCGTCGCGTACTGAGAATCTGACCTAGGTCACCCATGTGCATGACAAATGCCCTACCCGCTGGAGTATCTCTCCAGCTCCTGGAGTAATATATGAAATGAAGTAACATGCATTTAGCAGGAATTGGAATTTTTGTAGAACACAGTAAATAACATAAAAATCCCAGGCTGGAGAAGGGTTGGACAGTGTTAGTAGGAAAGGGGATCAGCATTTCTCCCAGAATCACAGTAAGAGATTCTGAGACCTGACTGAAGCGGCTTTAAGAGACATTTTCCAGACATCTGCTACTCAAAAGCAAATGGATTATTTTTCAAAAAATACAATCTGGGACTGAAGCAATAGTCCAGCGGGGAGAGGATTTGCCTTACACACAGCTGACCTGGGTTCAATCCCTGGTATCCCATATGGTCCCCCAAGCACCGCCAGGGGTAATTCCTGAGTGCAGAGCCAGGAGTAACCCCCTGAGCATTGCTGGGTGTGATTCAAAAAAACAAATAAAATAAAACAAAAAATACAATCCAGTCTGGGAAAGAGAGCTCAACAGGCAGAGCAATGCAGGGTCAAGGTGGTATAGAACCATCCCATGGGCCATGGATCACTAACCCTGTGCATCTTTTTCTGGGGAAAAAAAATTAAATAGTCCACTTAAGCTAGTATTTAGGCTTTTGTCACATTCTTCCCTAAACTCAGAACAGATTGCCAAATTCAATCGAAATGATAAAGGAGCGGGAAAACTCATGGTTTGGGACTTACGGTGCATCAAACGTGAGGCGAGCCACAGCTGGCAGAACAGTACCTTAATAGAAGCTCCTGCAAAGCGAGAGAGCTGTTTGATGTGCTGGCCCTGCTTGCCGATGATGGCGCCAACGGATAGGGCTGGAATAAACAGATGAACAGTCTCCGTTTCTGATTGCTGGTGGGAAAGAGACAGACATACCTGCTTATTTCATACAAACCCTGCATAGGGATGGGTCATTCTCATAGAGTAGAAATATTAGGATAGTCTAGAAAAACCTACCATAATAAGCTAACATAGATTTACCTATCAGGTTGGGATCTCACTCACGGTCATCCTGAAACCATCTGCATTAAGAATCCCATTTTTCTTGGGCTGGAGAAGGTGCTCAACAGGTAGGAGGCTAAGCGGCTGGGTTTGCTCTCTAACACCATATGGCTCCCAAGCACAGAGCCAGGATTATACCCTCTTCCCTATCCATATACCCTTCCCCTGCCAATTTTTTTAAAAAACCCGAGACCTTTTCCTCACTTTACATAATTTTCCTAAACTTTATAATGTCATCAAGGTACAGATTTAAAAGATATAAAAATATTATAAATTTAAGACAGCAAGAATGAAGGAATAAAATTCTGTTATTCTGTCAACTATTCAGTAATTCCCCTTATTGCTGTATCTTGAGAAGGAATGAAATTCTGGCCTACATACCAACAAAACTCAATAGCAGCTAAAATACTGACTCCACATTGTATCCGTGTGCTCCTTCAACACACAGAGTGGTAGTAGCTTCACCTGAATCTTATTATATTTGATTAGATGATGTGAAGCCAGATCACTACCACTCAACACTCATCATGCACAGCGACTGGATTAAAACTGATTCACAGGGGCTGGAGAAATAGCACAGCGGGTAGGGTGTTTGCCTTGCACGCGGCCGACCCAGGTTCGATCCCCAGAATCCCATATGGTCCCCTGAGCACCTCTAGGAGTAACTCCTGAGTGCAGAGCCAGAAGTAACTCCTGTGCATTGCCAGGTGTGACCCAAAAAGAAAAAAAAAACAAAACTGGTTCACATCAGTGATAAATGCTATAAGATACGCTGCCACATAATTCTTTATTCTTTCCATCTCTCTTTCCTTTGTAGTTCACGCAAGGACAAACTGGAACTTCATTTGTTTGAGGGATACTCTGCTGGTGCTGGGGATGCAGTGCCAGGGATCAAACTTGGGGTTTCAGCATGTAAAGTATATGCTCCAGCACTTTGGAGAAAACATTTTGAAGAATAACTCATAAGATCTTTCAGACTGTTAATCTGTGTACACTTCATTCCTTTCATCTCTACAAGTCAAATGGGCTTTTTTCTGAGTCTCCCTTCAAATACTCATTCCATTGTGGGGTAATTTTGAAATGCAGCAAGAGTGTCCGGAGTCTACTAAATACAAAAGAAAGACCTGTTTTCCAAGGAGGATTTTTGGAAGATAATCCCAAGAAATAATTTTTTTGGGAAAAATAATCCTAGCAAAGTTAACATTTCTAAGAATGCTTTTAAAAGCATGTAGATCAATATATCTTGAAAGAGATCAAATAGCCACAAAAATTTCTTGGATACACTGGTCCCAGTTGAGATCTCTGGGATGATCTTGGGAGGGGGTGGGCCAGTTCCCACCCTACCAAAGCCCCCGCAGCAGCACTCACACCCCAACAGTAAGATAATCTGGATTTTCTGGAACAACATCTCCAAACCCTACAATACTAACATCCCAGTAGGAGCCCACCAGATTGGATGGGATGTAACAGAGAAGCCAACTAACCCCAAGGGTCAAAAGCATTAACACAGAAGGCTCAACTAGCAACAACACCTTAGTAAACCTTCAGCCAAGAACGTAATGTCCCCAAGGTCAGATACAACAATTTTCACAAATTTTCTTTTTTTCTTGGGTATTTTTTGATCACTCCGTTAGCCATCGAGTGGTAACAATTAATATAAAATAAATCACTGTGGGTCTGCAAAGGGGCAGGCTTAGTGAGTAGTTGGAAAAATGGAGACAACAGTGGAGGGAAGGTGGGGCTGGTGTTGGAATACTGAATACCTGTAACAAATCATCATGAACAATGTTGTAAATCAGTGTTTAATTAAAAGAAATTATCTGGGAGAAATATTCCCAGAATTCTGTCTCAACTATTCTTATACACCTACTGTACACCCATTATAACTTCTACTCTCAAGTGCTCCAGTTAACCCACTAACACTGTGATCTGTCCAGTCAAGCCATGAGAGAGCAGGAAGTGTAGTTTTAGATGGGGGCTGGGCCACCCCCAGTGGTGCTCAGGGACCATATGTGGTGCTGGGGACTGAACGGGGGATCAGCAAGTGCCCTGATCTCTATTGTCTAGCTCCAAATTTCTTTTATCTTTCTTTTTCTTAATCTAGAAACTTCTTCAAATTCTCTAAAATTCCTAGACCAAGAACATGCTCATAGTTTTGCTTTCAGGTGTCTCAGGAATTAGGAAGATCTTTGGAACTTGATCATTTTAGCCTTTTTCATTTTGTTTTGGGGGGCCATACCCAGCACTGCTCAGGGATCACTTCTGGCAGATCTTGGGAGACCATATGGGATATATGGGAAACCAGGTTGGCTGCATGCAAGGCAAGTGCCAACCCATCATACTATCACTTCAGCCCATCAAGCCATTAAAAACAGTCAAATAAAACAGCTGCACTGTTCTATTTTTCACTGCTTAATGCTTTTCTTTCTTTCTTTCTTTCTTTCTTTCTTTCTTTTAAAGGTTTTTGGGTCACAAACAGCAAGCTCAGGGATTACTCCTGGCTCTGTGCTCTGGCATGCTCCAGGGGCCATATAGGATGCCAGGGATCAAAACCGGATCGGCCATGTGCAAGGCAAACACCCTCCCCACTGCACATTTTTACAATTTACTGTTACATTTTTAAACTATAGCCCACCAAAATGACATTCCTATTCTTAGCACAAAGTCCCAGTGGCACTGATGGACTCTTGTCCCTGTAAGTCCACAAAGGTGGCAGGGAACATGGGGCACTGGGCGAAATCAGCTCCAAGGATCACTGATGATCTGTGGGTGACATGCATGTGTGGGTGACTCAGTCATTCATCTAGGAAGGGGGGGAGTGAGTAGCACTCCCAAGCAGTGCTCAGGGGGCCTAGGGGCTACTCCCTAAAATAGTCAAAGAAAGCCGAAGATTCAGAACCATGGTACCAGGGACCTATAGGGCTACCCCTGGCAGTGCAGGGTGGATGTGGTATATGCGCCCCCAGGGCTGATTTCCCTAGCCACTAGTGAGCCATTATCATCTGTCAACCTGGAGTCACCAGAAAGATATACTGTAAGAAATGATTTGGTAGGAATTTGTCACACTACTTATAGGAATTATTTTTGTTTCATTTTAGTTCACACCCTGCAATACTTAGGGAAATATTTGTAGTACCAGGGACAAAACCAGAACTGGCAGGAAGACAGGGCAAGTGCCTAAACCTTTGTCCTATTGCCTTGTGTGAAATTTTTTTCAGCCTTTAGTTTCCTGAAGAGTATTTTTTTTTTTGTAAAAGAATTGGTAAACAAAAACAAAGTAGAAATTAATAATTTTTTTTCTTTTTTTAGGAGAAGCAAACTTTTTCCTATTTCCAATTTAAAAGTAGAAATGAACATACAGCAATGTAGCCCAGTGATAAAGCATATTCCTTGCATGTGTAAAGCCCTCGGTTCAATCTCTGGCACTGCAAAAAAGAAAAAGAGATGGACTGGAGAAATGACTCCAAGGGTGAGCTCAGGTGCTGCACCCAGGCAGCCTGGGACCCTCCTTCATTGCTGGTGGGAATGCCGACTGGTTCAGGCTTTTGGGGAAAATTTAGACATTCCTCAGAAACTAGAAATTGAGTTCCCACGTGACCCTGCAATATCATTTCTGGGAATATACCCTGGGGGCACAAAAGCTCACAGCAGAAATGTCATCTGCACTTCTATGTTCATCGTAGCACTATTCACAATAGCCAGAATCTGGAAACAACCCAAGTACGTGAGAACAGAGGACTGGATAAAGAAACTATGTACATCTACACAGTGGAATACTACGTAGCCACATAGCCATTAAGAAAAATGAACTCATGAAATATGCTTATAAACGGATGGACATGGAGAGTATCTATTGAGTGAATTAAGTGAGAAGGAGAGGAACAGATATAGAATGACTGCATTCATTTGTGGGATATAAGAAATTATATATAGTATGAAACTAATGGGCTAGAGCGATAGCATAGCAAGTAGGGCATGTGCCTGGCACGTGACCAACGTCCCTCTTGGAGAGCCCGGCAAGCTACTGAGAGTATCCCACCTGCACGGCAGAGCCTGGCAAGCTCCCCATGGCGTATTCGATCTGCCAAACACAGTAACAAGTCTCACAATGGAGATGTTACTGGGCCCACTCGAGCAAATTGCTGAATAATGGGAGGACAGTGCTACAGTGCTATGAAACTAATATCCAAGGCCAGGGAAAACAGAGACCAGGAGGACTGGTAATAGCTGGAAGCTTGCCACAAGAGTTTCCGAGGGAAGAAGGGCAGTTAGGATAGAGAAGAAACCTGTATGACAATAATAGCTGGAAATGATCACTGTGGACAGGAACTGAGTATTGAAAGTAGGTAAAGGGATATACCTGATAACCTTTCAATATCCGTATTGCAAACCATAAGGTCCAAAAGAGGGTGGGAGGGAAGGAGGAGAGAAGGGGGGGGGGGAGGCGGGGGAGGAACTGGGGACTCTGGTGGTGGGAAATGTTCACTGGTATAGGGATGGGTGTTGGAACATTACATGACTGAAACTCAATCATGAACAATTTTGAACTGTGCGTCTTACTGTGACTTAATAGAAATAAATAAACATGGCCAACAAAACTCTCACTCAAGTTTCCTTACTTTTACTTCTCCAGTCCACCATGATATAACTTCCTAATACTCAAAAGAAATCTCTTCAGTGTTGTTGGCATATACTTAAACTTTTGCTCATCAATGTACCATAAAAGGTAGAGATAGGCGGCTGGAGCAATAGCACAGCGGGTGGGGCATTTGTCTGCCATGCACGCAGCTGACCTAGGTTCGATTCCCAGCATCCCATATGGTCCCCTGAGCCCGCCAGGAGTAATTCCT